TGAATCTAAATGTTAATTCTTGCCCAGTCTTTTCTTCACCCACATGTAATTTGTCTTTCAGCGTCTACACCGCAGCCTAACAGGCAGGTGTCTGGAGAAACGATAACCTTTCGCAGCGTGTCCACAGAAAACACGGCTGTCTATCAGTGCAATGCCTCCAATGAGCATGGGTACCTACTGGCCAATGCGTTTGTCAATGTGCTACGTAAGTTTTGTTACTTAGAGAATATTCAGTTATTTTTCTAAGTCAGCACTAAGCCATAAATTGTGAATCTTTTTTACAAATGACCATGAACAATCCAAAAGACAGTGAAATATAAACATCCATTAGATGTATGCCTAACGCTCTTCTATGTTGACAGGCATTGGAATCTACAACATCTTGCCTTTGACCAACTCTAGCAACTTTTTATCTATAGAAACAGTCAACACAAATCAACAACTTTATGTAGTTACATACTGATTGAAAAGACGGCACATCTGCCTTGTCAATGTCATTCGGAGTTTGTTTTTTTTTTTTTTTAGCTTCATTTGTTTACTAAAATTAGAATCTTACATTTGAGGAACAAAACTGCAACGTTAAAAACATCTGGTTTGCTACTCAACTGGGAGGTCTCAGACTGGAAGCTCCCAGCCAGAATAGTTGTTAAAGATAAGTTGTTAGAACAACTTTGAGGGTGAAAAGTTGTCTTTGCCTTTGTTAAGCTAAGAAAATGTTAACATATATTAAATATTTCATCTCCTTTTAGAAAAATACAGAAAAACAGACATGAAAGCACAGTTGTTACCGACAGGCCTGTCGGTTGTGACTCTAAAAGCACTGAATCCAGCTGCAGTGTCTGCTTTGTGACTCTCCCCACAATCATCTCAATGGGGCTTTTATTCTGTACTGTTTTTCTGTCACACTTTTTCCTTCCACTCAAATTTACAACAATTTAATTCCAAATATGAACCAGTGAACAGTCCACTGATGTTTTGTGGCTTATCCTCCTTGTGGTGAGTATCAGTCACCAAATTTACTGAGATGATCTTGTGTTTTGTCCCTCAGATGCGACGCCTCGCATTATTGGGCCCAGGAATGAGCTCATAAAGACGATAGAGGGACATCGTGCCTTTTTAGACTGTCGCTTCTTTGGCTCTCCCGTTCCTGAACTGCGATGGTACGTTTTGTTCGCCTTGGCTGGCATTAGGGAGCAACCTATCCGAGTCTGCAGGTTTATGGCTTGTCTGACACAGGTCCAAATACGGACAAGGAAATCTGGAGGGAAACCGTTTCAGGACCCACAGGAACGGGACTCTGGAGATCAAACGCATCCAGATAGAAGACCAGGGTACCTATCTGTGTGTGATCAGCAACATAGCAGGGAGAGATGAGAATCAAGTCCGAGTAGAGGTCAAAGGTAAAGACGACAGATCCTCACAGAAAACGTTTGTCACCAGGAGGCTCTACTAACGGTCTGACAGTAGCATTGTTTGCTATGCTTCTTAGAGCCCATCATAATTGTGACCAAACCACGGAGTATGAAAGTCCTGCGTGGAAGTGATGTGCGCCTGGAGTGTGGTGTAAAAGCAGACATCACCACACCAATCAAAACAACATGGATGAAAAACAAAAACCAAGCTGCTCTCAGTTGGAGGTCCGTGACTTTTCCTCAAGTTTAATTCATGTCTCACAAAAGAATTAAAGCTTTTTATTTCAATGTGATCTGAGGGTTTGTTTTTTTTTACTTTGGTAGAGTCTCTATGGATGAATCAAACCTTGTCATTACTAATGTGAACAGAGGTGATGAGGGGAATTACACATGTGTGATCCAAAATGACCTGGAACAGAAGTCTGCATCAGCACACCTAATGGTGATGGGTAGGACCCAGAGGAAGGAAAACCTATTTTAGCAGATAAGCTGCCTGTTCGTCTTAAAACTGTTTTTACGTTTTGTTTTTTGTCTGTTTGTTGTTGTAGACCGACCAAGTCCTCCGACTGACTTGGAACTGTCAGATCCATACGAACGCAGTGTGCGACTCAGTTGGGTTCCTGGGGACAGCAACCACAGCCCCATCACTGGTAAAATGAATCAGCTAAATAAACTGACAGGAATACACCTTTTGCTTTTGAAATGTTTTGCATGTGTGTTCGTCATGATAATATTAAGCACCATTTTTTGATTTCCGACAGAGTATTTAGTGCAGTATGATGACGATGACTGGATACCAGGAAAGTGGAAAAACCTATCGACATACCCAGGAAATCTCAACTCTGTCGTGCTGCATCTGCAACCTTTCACCTACTACGAGTTCAGGGTTATTGCCAACAATGAAATCGGATCGAGTCGTCCCAGTCGGCCATCTAAGCGCTTCCAGACCAGCGGCGCACGTGGGTCTCATAGAGAGAACTTCACACTGACCTTTTTAAAGTCGTAAATTATCTTTTTTTCATGCAGTAGCATAATCTAACATGTGAATAATAGAAACATAAATGTTTATGTTAGTCAAATGGGGAACGATACTAGGTTAAGAAATCATTTTTGACAAAATTAGCACAATGTGTAATATGCGGGTTTGCTTGGCAGGATGTTGTTTTCTCTGCGACTCAGATCCAAACAAAGTAGCCTGTGTAAGTGGCATTCCCATGAAACCATTTGTATGCAACTTCCATCAGTTAATTTAGTTTTCTATTATTAATACAGCTAATAATAACAATAATAATAATAATAAAATTTTGTTTCAATCAAATTTTATTATATAACCTTGACTATAATCTGCAAATCTATTATTCTTCTGATTCAGAATGAGTAAGGAGTGATCCTGCATATAAGTGTAAAACCTAGTTATTATATTTAGAAGGGTTTAAAACTGAGAAAGTAGTAGCAGGCAAATAGGAGTATTCCTATTTTACATTAGTATTCAGAATGAACTAGTTTTAATTACGACCCGTTGGGTTTTATGTTTGTCCTCGGTAAGTTTGTGGAAATCAATGTGCCGTGTAAACATATTCCTAGTGGAGAAATCTGTGTTACACTCTGAGTAAGCTGCTCCTCAGGATTGAAGCAGTCTAGAGCGCGATGTAGAAGGACGCCTCAGGCCGTGACTCGACCTCCTGTGTCTTAGGACTCACTTAAGGTTAACAGCTAATGAGCAGACTTTCCAGAGAGACACTATTCTGAACAACCTCCTGATCAAAAGGACAACAAAAAAAGAGTTAGATTTATAACTTTTGATAAAATCATGCCTGCTTGTCTCTTTTAGCTTGGAAAAATCCAAGCTTGGAACGTGTGGTTTTAAATCAATTACAGATCATTTTGTTTTCTTGTTCAGCTCCTGATGTCATACCAAAGAATCTGAAAGGTGTGGGTACATGGAGAAATAACATGGAAATCAGCTGGGAGGTAACTAGGACTGACATAAAACCGTAAATCTGTATTTCCCTGTGGGAGTTTACCACATAAATCTTCCTTAACACAAAACATCACATTGACAGTTCTTGTGTTTGCAGCCTCTGACGTGGCGAGAGTGGAACGGACCACACTTGAAGTATCTGGTTTGGTGGAGAAGGAGGGATTCCAGAGAGGAGTGGAAAAATGCAACTACAAAGTGGCTGAAGTATTACATTTATGACGCGGACACGTTCACCCCCTACGAGCTCAAAGTCCAGGCAGTCAATGACTTCGGGCTTGGACCTGAGTCGCCCGTGGTCATTGGTTACTCTGGTGAAGACCGTAAGTACTGCTTGCACTTACAGTGCAGTTTGTCTATTTGCTGCTTTATCATTTAAATCTCACTGAAACGTTTGAAAACACGCACTCTGTAAATAATGAACAAATCACCAAAATAGTTTGTGGTAAATTTCCAAAATATTCCCGCTGTTTCTCCCACTTTATGAAGACAGACGTGACATTAGAGAAGAAACTAAAAACTTCTCTTTTGGCTTATTTTAGAACATTTTCAGCACATTGCCATCAACATTCTCTCAGAAGGCAATACCTCTCTGTTTATTCATATTCCATGTCTTTTTTCCTTTCTTGCCTTACAAACTACTCTGAAAGACTTCTTCTTATCAACAGTAAAGATAAGATGGCATTCCATTTCTATTTTTTTCCCAGGTCCGATAGCGGCCCCCCTGAACTTGAGAGTGTCTGACATCGAGAGCACTCAGGTTACGTTACATTGGGACCCAGTGACACGTGAATCTATTATGGGACAGCTCAAAGAATACAAGGTGGGTCTATTATGACTGTGACAAAAGATAAAACGTAATAATAGCTGCAGAACCCTCCCTGCACATTATTAAAGCTAATTGCTATAGGATGGTTAATAGCTCATTTTATGGTATTTGAGTTACAACAACATTCAATAAGCTACATTCATGTTTTTGCTGTGCTGGTAATTCTATTTGATAATGTTACTAATTGTGTGTGTGTGTGTGTGTGTGTGTTTTTTTAGTTGATCATCATTTCATATTTTGACTCTGGTGCCAATTATGTGACGACACAGAGGCAAAGACTGAAAAGTGTTTCTTCTGAATTTTAAGGTCTACTACTGGAGAGACAGCAGCCAGCTGAGGTGGCACAGGGTCAACAGAGCCATGAGGTCCAAAGTGTTTCCCAACAGCGATCCAGAACCCTCAGGCGTCGTCACTGACCTCATTCCTTATAGCAACTACGTGATGTATATAGTAGTGACGAACAGCCGGTATGAAGGACCGCCAAGTAATCACATCCACTTCTCCACACCAGAAGGAGGTATAAAAATAATAATAATAATAATAATAATAATAATAATAATAATAATAATTATAATAATAATAAAAAAATAAACCATCTGCAAGTAATATGCTGCTATTTTTCTACAGGCTTTGCATTAAAATGTTGCTTACAATCCTGGGCTTTGTTTTTACAGTACCATCTGCTCCGAGATCCTTCAGGATCCAACAGAGACATCTGGACAGCATTTATGTTGACTGGGACCTACCAGAAGAGCCTAATGGTGTTATTACTGGTTACAGCCTGAAATACCAGACAGGTAGGTATGCCAAAAGACTCTAACAAACGATGCCAAGCGCACTCAGAAATACGTAAAAATCAACTACTCACAGCAATTCCAGAGAAGCTGGTTATGGATCCCTTCCCCTTATAACCACTGCAGTATCTGCACATAGAAATCCAAATACTACTGAAGTCTGTGAAGAGGGTAATAAACTTTTGTAACTACTCAGCGGTCAGATACCTGAACGTTTAATGTTCCAGGATCGACATCAAGAGTTGTCCAAGTTTTGTGAAGTATCCCACCTCTCCACAGTGAATGCAAGCAGAGGAGAAGAGCTGAAAGTGGAGGAGTTCCCACCGAACGTGACGAGCTTCTCTATCCGGCGATTCGACCGCTACACTCGCTACAGATTCTCTGTGGCTGCACACACTCGGGTCGGGCTGGGAGAGTGGCATACGGAGGAGTCTCCCCACTACACCACAGAGAGTAATTTACTCTTGTTCTCGGGTTTTTTTGACACAACCGCTATGGAGTGCTGGGAAGATGCTGACTCTCTTCCTGTGTGATTGTTTGTCCCAGTATATGCTCAGGACCAGGTGGACATTTCCACTCAGGGGTGGTTTATTGGCATCATGTGTGCTGTGGCTCTCATCGTGCTCATCCTCCTCATAGTGTGTTTCATCAAGAGGAGCCGAGGAGGAAAATATCCAGGTACAAAGGGGGGGAATTCCTGTGAAATATTCCAGTATGCAGAGGTGCACACTGGGAAAAACAAACCAGCATAAAGTGCTGCGTCCAGTATTTTTATGTCTTACATAAATCTACGTGCAATTAATTACTAAAATAACTGGACATATTTGATAGAACATTTGCTGTTTGCTTCTGTTTTCCTAGCAAACTGTTTAACTTAAACCTTTTCTATGAATTAGTGCGCGACAAAAAGGACATTTCATTGGAACTGGTGGATGACAAAGATCAGGAGGGAACATTTGATTACAGGTAAACATCCAAAACTAACATATAAACTGCTGTATTATTGTTTGTAGTTGGTAATGAGGAATAATGTCACACTGTAACACACACCTATCAGTTCAGGTTATACTCTGATAACATTGTTTGCATGGATTTGCTCTGTATCTGTGTGTTTTCCTTTCGTAAATTGAAAATGCTCTGTGACATTACTGTACCAATAATGTCCATCCTAACTGAACAAGTTCAAGGATGAGTTTTAAATAAACAAATAAAAACAGTTTTTTTTTTTTTTTTTTTTTTTTTGTAGATTGGTACTTTGCATCCAATTACTGTTGAGTTCCTAAATTAATCAAATATAACTGGCTTTTCTTTGGAAAAATCCCAGTCACTACCTGAGCAGAAAAATAGAAAGTTAGTTTGATTCGTTTCATCCGGAATCAACCTGATATCATTTAATGCAGAGGTCTATCTGAGTGACATTTATGAAGTTAATATTATACAGTGTTGTGCAACCACAGGCTTGGTTTGGTCATTTATAACTAAAGGCAATTATTAACAAAGTTAGCAATTTTCATCAAAACTCCCAAGTTGAGGCATCACCCGTTTATCAGGAAATAAAAGCTAAAATTCCTGTCAGTCTCAGTCATTGTTTATTGAATACCTGCTTAATGAGATGTGGGCTGGTTGGACAGTAGACAAAGGAATAAGTTCAGCACTAATTTTCCCAATGGAGACATATAGAGAATAAAACACAGGCAAATTCTCCCCGAAATATAAGAATTTATCAGCAAAATATGTCGATCTTCCACTTGAAATACTTTCATCTACAAACTAACTAATCCAGTAACACCCAACTAAACTGCCAAGTAAAAATTAATTATTGTTCAGTTTTTTTTATGAGTGCTGGTGGTCTGTTATGACTAATTACGTCACAAAAGGAAAAGCTATGTTGTGTAAGCACTGCAGCCACCTTTAGCATTAAAGGGATTTCGCTTTACCATGTGCAGCAGAGATAACAGGGACAATTTAGCATGTTTCAAGGACAATGTGGACCTGTCTTATGCAGTTCAGTGAGGGAGGAAGAAAAGGAATGTCAATGTCAAATTTATTTATATAGCACTTTTAAAAGCCGGTTTAAAACCAAAGTGCTGTACAAAAATGATAACATAGTAGAATACGTTGATGGGAAAAGAAAGAGAAAACATAAAAAATAAGTGCAATAATAAGTGAAGAAAACAAAACTTAAAGGTTATAGCATCAGGCCTCAGTTAAAGGCCAACAAATAAAAATAAGTTTTGAGAAGTGATTTAAAATGATCTTTACTAGTAATGTAAGTTCACTTTGCTGGGCTACTGGTGGTTCAACCATTTATTGGAGTAAAGTTTTATCAACTCCAATAAATGGAGCCTCAGCTTGCTTTAGGCCTGACACACTTTCACATTCAATAATGCAAAATCACATGGAAATACATAATGAAGTGAATCATATTTGAATTGTTTTCTCCTGAACTAATGTCCTCTGCCCAGACACAACCTCCAACGTGAACCTTTCCTAAGAACAGGAAGATTGGAGCCAAATGGAAGCTGCGGCTTTATTGTTAATCACGCTTTAGCACATCCGAGCACAGATGCAGTTCAAATCAGATATCTGACCTTATTTTCTGTAACCCTTTGATTAAATAGTTTTTTTTTGTTGTTGTTTCTTTACTTTTCCTTCTCTATCTAAAACTTTCCCTTCCAATACCTCAACCTTCTGTTTTTTCCACTCAACCACTCAAGGTCCCTTGAAAGGTATGAAAAGACTAAATGTTGATTTATTGACACTATTGACATTATTTACAGTAACTTTATGAAGAAAAATAAATTACTTTGTGAATTTCAATCTTTTAATTTTACACAGTTTAATTAAATGTTTTCATATTTCAGGATAGCACGTGTCTCAACTTTGCCCTATCCTCGGCGGTACGACGCATTACCTTTTACTGTATTTCAGTCACAATAGTTCATGTTTCTGAGATCCAATTTGTGCTGACACCCTTATTCTTTTTGCCAGAGAGGAGGAAAGAGGACTCCAGAGAGCTCAGCCGTCTGTGGAGGCGATACTGAAGAGATCAGACAGCGACGACAGCCTGGTTGAATACGGAGAAGGAGGAGAAATCCAGTTCAATGAGGACGGATCGTTCATCGGCCAGTACACGGGAACGAGGAGAGACGTCAGGGACTTGGACTTTGGTGGAAATCTAGAGCTCCACTCTCCGATGAATACCATCTACTCTCTGGCATGAGACTAAAACCTCAAGGACCAATTCTTGCTACGGCTGTTTTCCCTGAGACTTCGCTCTGTTCGTACCTTCTCGGAAGCAGGCAGAGGAAGTGAAGATTTGAGTCCATTTGAGGAGGAAACAGCTGGAGATATAGAGCTGCTATTAAACCTTTGTTATTTCACAAGCCTCAACTTTCATTTGTATGGAGGGGGGAACCATGCAGAGGTCGGGATCCTCTTGACATGTGTGTGTTTTTAGACATTATCTGTTAAAATTTTCCTTTCATGTTGTGTATATATATATATATATATAGAACATATCTTTGCAAAAAACTGAAGTGTTGTGAGAGACTGAGAAGGAGCTTTTTATTGTGTCTGTGAAAACTTTTGCAAGGACCAACTCACCCTCTGTAACTGCATCTTTTTCTGTTTGTTAACTCCAACCGCAAAGTTTATGTTAATTATGAGTGCAACACATTCTGAAGGTTTCTTCCTCAACTTTGGTTCAAATTTGTTTTAGCTTTTTAGATTTATAAATTAAAACAAAGAGGCCGACCTAATGCTTTCCTCGTCGAGGAAAACATTTCTGTAGAACAATTTCAAACAGCTTCTGAAGCGCTCTCCTAATTTGATGCATTCTGTGGCGTAACAGTGTTTCTTTGACGTCTAACATCAGCTGTGTACGAAGCAAAAAAATGAATAAAAAAAGTGTTTGTAAATATGTGGGCTTGTTTCACTCTGAATGCTAAATTTCTGAATCCATATATTTGTGATGTGCAGTCTTTGTGGCTGTAGTTGATTAAAGGATATAAATGTGCTTTATGAGACAGTCATTAGGGAATACTGTGTTTCACTGTGGAAAAGTATCATCTAAATCATTCATAAGGAGAGACTCCACTATGTATAAGAGGAATATTTAGTCAAACTAGTGGAAACAAAGGGTCTATGAATGATCTGCATAGTGAGGTTGATCTTGGTAGCTGATGGACTCGTGTAAATCAGATAAATAGGACGGATAGAGATTCATTCTGGGTTACCTGGGGACATCAGCAGATCTTGAACCATCTTTATTTACTCAGATCGTTATTTACTCAAGTTAAAGCTCAACCAGGAATCATTTTGTGGAGAATAGATCCCTGCCTCTTACCAGACTAAACACAGAGAAGCAGAGGAGTTTAAGAGATGTTGTAAGGCAGGGATGTTTCTCATTGGCTCATGAATCTACTAACACAGCGGGGTGAGTTCTTCTAAAGGAGTTTTAATTTACAATTTTCTTCGTGATAATTTTAGGTATTTATTTTAAGAATGTCCGACGAAACAGATAAATACAACATGCACATTTTTACACATTGCTTTTGGTGAATGTTAATGTTGAAGTACATTTAAAGCTTTGTTCATGGTGTGTCATCTGTTGCTCTTTTGCAATAATTACTGTTGTCAGAAGCAGATACAAATCATATTAACTGTCATCAAATTTGTGTAGAGAATAATTAACTGTAATCGGGCATTACTCACATTTACAGTGAAAAACTATTGATTATTTATTCTGTTTTTGCTTTTTTTGTAGCACTTAAATGCTTTTGATCATTCAAATATCAGACAAAACTTGTGGAAGAAAAAAAAACCTCAATTTTAACCACAGCAACCAGATACCAGATTCAGGGGCAGTTATGTTTTTTACATGGATGTTTATGTTCAGCTTCTTTTGTTCTAGACATTGTAAACAAAACCCCTTTATTGTGAATGAGATGGGATTTTATCTTTCACTCTAAAAACTCATTTTGATGTTTTGAGGATGGAAAACTATTCTAAACAGTTTATGCTTCACCAAATACTTTTTTAGGGCTTCTAGGGTGTTTTCACAGACTAAATTTGTAACATTTCTCGGCAGAAAGGAAAAGGACTGCATCTTTGCAGAAACCCTGGATCCAAAATCAACCAGTCTGCCATTTGCTGAACTGTTGTTGACTGTATTCCTGCCAACATAAACCCTGGAGCCTGAGTTATTTGAACTGCTGCACAGAGAATCTAAAATAATGATCATTTCCCAAAGAAAGAACGCTGTCTCTGATCATGTCGTAAAAGTGGATGTCCTTCCACTGTCCTGAGAGAAGGTGAACCACAGCTCGACATGTCTACCCTGTAGACTGGAGAAAATAAAAAATAGAATAGAATAGAATAGAAATATCCTTTTTGTGCCACTAACAGGAAAATTACGTTAAAACAGCAGCAAAGTCACAGGCAATCAAACTACGTAGATTCACAAAAAGATGACATATTTCTTTAAAAAACAGAATTAAGAAGAAATAAATTATCAGAGAAGTTGCTTGTGTATTTTATGGTGTATGTTTGCAGTGTTGCGTTGAATTCACTCTGATGCTGACCTCAGTGTATCACTGCATTGTGAATCTGTTCAGAACAGAGACAGACGGAGACTGATTACGTTTGGCTAATCATTCCTGATCAACAGGTGGTTCCCCGACTGGTTAGTTCAACTATAAGAAACTCTAACTTAGTAATTAATCATAGTTCTGAATAGTTACATAAGACAGACGTTGCTGCGCATTGTTTTTGCACAACATTTTCATTTTAAAAGTTATTTACAACCAAACCTTTTGTTGCGCAACATCATGATGATAAAGTTAATTTGTTACTTTTGAAAAATCCAAGCAAACTCTGAGCAAGTAAGCAAAGTGAAACACCCCCAATTCTGAATCTGTAACATATTAACTTGCAAAAAATGAAACCTGAACCCTGACAATTCTGGAGTATTAAAACATCAGTGCACTTAGAGCTATTAAGGCAAGGACATCTTATCTAAGGATACAGGCATATCTATAAGGAGTGCTGCTGCCCATTCAAACTGCATTCATGTTTAATCTCTGTGCCCTTCTAATCACAGAAATGACTGACAATCTCATAAAGACTGGCCAATTAGGTTTTCTTCAAGTTACCTGTATTCACAGGCAAAGAAAAATTAAAAATAAATGCACAGGTAAGTATTTGAACGAGTGGTGTTTACAGAAAGCTTTTGATTTGCTCCACAAATATGAAATTCAGAAACTGCTTTCATTCCATCAATTTGAACTTGTTTTACTGCTATACTTTATGCCTTCATGAGCTTAGTATACAGATATTATAAAAGATAAGGAAAATTACATAAAGAAAATCAACTGCATTTGCAGATACAGTAAAAACTATACTCAGGAATTTGACACTGTTAAAAGTATCAGCCACATAATTACTTGTATTGCTGTAACAACATTTTTGAAAGAATCGTGTCACATTTTATTTGCTCTTGCTTCGGTTTATTGTTAAAGACGAGTTGTGGAAATATCACGAAATAACTTTTGAATTTCAAATTTCATATCATAGTTTTGAATTACATGACATGTACCACGCTGTCTGACATCAACTGCAAATACGCAAAGTGTAATTTAATTGTCAGTAAAATGTGTTGTAAATTTCTAACAAAGCGATGTTACGTTTTTCAAAGACTTTGTGTTATGCATAACAAAACTAAACGATCACTTGTGGGAGTGTTAGCTGTGTATCATGAAAATGTCATGGAAATCAATCAGCTGCTATCTGCAAGAATGAATTTACAGTCCGTTGTGGGACATCAGTTGATAGGTTACATAACATTCTCCTCTCGAGAACATTTATCAGCTTATAAAACTTAAATGAGGAACAATCATCAGCTCATCACTAGCCAAAAAAACCCAAATCATTCTAATCTTGACGTAACGAATGAATCACTAATGTATGGCCTTTGTTCCTCACATATTTTACCTATAAAAAGGAGAACGGCTGGAGCAGCCAGACGTAGAGCAAGCTACCTGAGGAAAGGTACCAATGACATTTTCATCTGTACTCTTGGTTGCATTTTGTGCAGAGGTTCAACTGTACAACTTTTGAAATCGACTTCAGATAACTAAAATATAATCTTTTTATGGTTTGTTAGCTTAAACTGTGCTATGTTTTCAGAAAACTCTGAAGAAAAGGCTTCATCATGGCTCGACTGACCATCCTGGCTGGTAAGTTAGTTATTTAATATTTGAATTTGTTCCAAGAGTTGTTAAGAAAAAGTATTAATTAAACTCCTTTTCAGGATTGGCACTTCTGATGTGTCTTCAGACTGGTAAGAATTATTATTCTTTTGTTTCTGGAATTTGCACATTAATCACAGCTTGAACACGAGCCTACTAATAATAATTTTATTCTTTTCTGATAGTTTCTTCCACCAAACTGGTGTGCTACTTTACCAACTGGTCCCAGTACAGACCGGGGGTTGGCAGATTCACCCCTGACAACGTAGATCCAAACCTCTGTACGCACCTCATCTACGCCTTCTCCATCATCAGCTCCTCCAATGAGCTGGCTACGTTTGAGTGGAACGATGACGTTATGTACAGATCCTTCAATGCGCTGAAGAACAGGTGAGCTTAGTATCACTTCAGCTTCCCAATAAACTATTAAAACAAAGCTGTTTGAATGCATTCTTGTAATGCACTGCATGAAAAACTTACAAGAATTTTAAGCATTTGAGGTTCGGAAAAATCATTGTGAACTTTACATGAGCACAAACAGCCTGGTGGAAATGACACATGATAATAAAAACATTTAGAATAAAAAAAAAATCTCTTTTATTAACTTTAGTATTTGAATTGTTTTAAACTGTACGTTTTCTTTCCAGATATTATGTTTATTCTATTTTAACACATAACTTGAACTGCCAGAACTCTGTCGGATTGCTTTCCTTTCAACATGTATAAGTGATGAATATATTTCTACGTCTTCACAACAGAAACCCTCAGCTGAAAACCCTGCTGGCTGTCGGTGGGTGGAACTTTGGAACCACACAGTGAGTCTGCAAAATATAACAGCTTCCAAACATACGCTTTTTAATGAATTCCTTTATGGATCATTAAAAAACGTTTTAACTGAAAAACCACTAACCTATGTGAATATTAACAGATTCAGCCTCATGGTCTCGTCTCCGGCCAACCGTCAGGTGTTCATCCAGTCTTCCATCAGATTTCTGAGACAACATGGCTTTGATGGACTAGATCTGGACTGGGAGTACCCGGGATCACGAGGAAGCCCACCAGAGGACAAGCAAAGGTTCACGTTGCTCTGCCAGGTTAGGATATTTTCACGCAACACAAATCGGCGCCATGTCTGTTCTGTGGCTCGTTTCATTTCTCCAGTTTTTGTAATGAATAATAATTACATGTATCTAAACCGGGAGCATATGCAGAGGCTTCATTACTTCATCTCAATGAAGTAATGAAGCCTCTGTATATGTTTTTTAACTGTTAATTTAGAACAAGGATAAAATTATAAGTTAGTTTCTAACTGTTTTCAGAATTTGATGATAATGATTAATGTGGTCAGCATTACTAAGTCATTTCTGTTGGTATTCCTTAGAGTTGATCATGTAGATCCAACTCAAGTCTAAGATTTCTAAAAGATTGCCAACATGTTTTATGGAAGATGCAGTATTTTCCATAACAAAGATTTAACACTCAAATTCATGACTTTATGAGTTTATAACATAAAGTCCTCATGCTTTATTCTATTTTTTCTTCTCATTATTAGACAAATATCCTTCTCTTTTTATTTTTGCTCTCTTGCAGAGAGACATGTTGGTCCCTCTGTAAGGATGCAAACAATTAGCTAACCTATGATAAATTGTCAATTCCTGGTTTATTAGATTAA